ATTCATTACTGCTTTCTTTTTTTTTCTTTTGAAAATAATAGGAAAATAAAAGTGAAATTTTATTATGTTCGATATATCGGATTCATATCGGAAATGTCCATTAACAAATAATAGTTTATTCGCAACCATAATTTTACTAATAAAAACTTAAATATTTTGAGTAAATTTTCAATCGGAATCAAATTACTAAAGTTCCCACGAATCAACTATTTTTAAGAGAATGTTTTTCATATTTCAACAGAAAAAAAGATGTCATCATTAGTTTATGTATTATAGTTACATAATTGATGATTGATGTAATAAATCATAATAATAAGAAACGATGTTTATAAAAATAAACAATATTTTTCTTTTATTTAGACTTTTGAAATTTTTTTTTTTTTACGTTCTTGAAACATGGAAAATAAAGCTGATGAAACAGAAATGAAAATTCAAGAATCAGAAAAGGATCTACTTGAAGGTTCCGATATAGATCATTTACCGATCGATAAAGGAAGCATAAATGTTATGACCACTGGTAGTAAGTAAATATTTTTAACAATCTTTAAACGAATTAGATAGGGGTAATTTACACTCTTAGTAAAAAAAAAAAGTCTTTTTTTTATGGATGTACCGTATGATTGAAAAATTGGAAAGAGAAAAAATTAGGGTTATCCCTTCAGGACGAGAGAAAAAACATGAAAGTACGAATGACAACGCTGATATTGAATTTGAATTCACATCATCATCTCCATTACCTTCCGTCATTTCACCACCATCATCTGTCGTAATTGAAGTTGTTCCCCCAACACTGCCAGCAACACTATTAAATAATGTTGATAATGTAGTTCAAGTTGAAGTTGAAGCATCATCAGCTAAAATGGATGTTGAAAATCAATTACAAGAAATGAATGTTCAATTGGTAGATTTATCATTTGATGATTCACAAAATGGGGCAAGAAGAACAAAGTCATTTGAAAGAAAACCAATTGATGTAACTTTATCTCTTGATGATGGTAAAAGAATGTTGGGTGAATACAGTGATGATTGGAATAGATTCGCAAGCGTCTTTAGAAAATATAACAAGGTAATATATTTTAATTAACTAATTAAAATATTATCGATACGATATTAAATTTAAATTCTTTTTAGGAACCAGTTGGGCAAGATCAAAGTCTTATTTGATTACGATTTATAGCATCGATTAAAGTACCTTTTTGTTAACGTCTGCTGTTTTCGCATTTATTTTTCGTTAAAAATATAATAAAGTACACTACTTTTATTTAGAATTCCAAATTCTTTTATAAATTTGTGTTGAAAACGCGATTATATATTATATAATGTCATTATTAGGAAAATTCCAATAATTTTTCATTTATTCCGATTATAAAGACGCTAAAAAAATACACATATTAATTTTTATTCTTTTTTTTTTTAAAAAAAAAAAAAAAAGAAGGAAATAGCCTTTGTGTGATCAATAACTAAAGATAAAAAGAACACTCATTATATTTCTTCATTAACGAAGCCATCCAAGTCAAATACTTTTAATTTTCATTTCTGTTTGACAGATGAATTGTTTGTACGTTCTCTGTTTTGGGCTTTTAAATTTTTTTTTCCTTTCGATTTAATTTCATCAGGTTCCAATAAAATTACCAACAATCAAAAAAAAATGGCAGCATTAGAGGAAATTAAAAAATATTTAAAACAAGCAAGACAGAGTTTGGAAAAGGCGGAAAAGACTTGAACGAGTTTAACTTTAACAGGCTGAGGTGTGAAAGAAGATTACAAAGGAGAGAAGTGAGTATTTAGAAAAAGAAAGTTAGAGGAAGAAGAATTTTGGGGGAAAATTACAGGATACGTTCATTGAATTAAATAAAGAAAAAAGGTAATGTACAAAATAAATATTTTTCATCTTTTCCGTTGTTTATTTATTCATTTGAGACGTATTCTTTATTTTCTTTTTTACTGTCGTTACTATTGCTTCGTTGCATAATAATTAATGCATTACATCGGTCCTTGAATTTCACTTTTCACTGGTCAATTGTTTCTAACTTATACATACAGGATATCGAAGGTACACAAAATCTATGTCTATTTAATATTTCTTATCATTTACAGCTTTCCGTTAACTTTCTTCATACTGCAGCTTTCTTTCCCAAATTCCCAGTTTTCCTAATATTTATGAATTGAATTATCTCCTTTCAAAGAACAGGTATTAGATGGTGGATTGGCCTGATTCAAAAAAAAAAAATTATTATTCAGAGCTCACGAGTCAGTTTACCACAATTGATTCACCTTTTTGATTGAGCGATCCACAAGTGACACTCATTTGTTGAAATCATCGAAGTTCTTAACTACAAACTCATTATTAATGTGATGCATGCTTAAGAAATGAAAAATTTACCCTATTTAATTGAATGAGTTATAGTAATTAATTAATGATCAACATCCAAAAATTCGTCAAAATGATCTTGCTTTAAAGCAGTGTTGGCGTTTTGCCCGAGGTTTGGCCATTGGCTATTTGGCCGATTTGGCCGGCAAAAATGGCTAAAAAAATCTTGGCCGCGGCTAAATTCTAATAAGTATTAATACATTTATTAATACCTAGTTATTTGGCCAAAATTTGGCTGTTTGGCCATTGGCCAAATGCCAACACTACTTTATAGTACTTATCACAAGTTCTTTTATTTTGGAAGTTTACTGGATATTGGCTTCAACCTAATTAATTGTTATAATTCAATAAATCATAATTTTTCCAATTTTTCCAATACAAAGCTACATTACCTTTTCCCATTTCTCTCATGTTCTCATTTGTTAAGATAATTTATTGTAAAGTTCTTTAGTGTACTGAAATTGTCTATCAAAGTGGAAAAATACCCTGTATAAAGTTGCCAAACGATTCTCCAAATTTTCCAGTATACTTGATTTATCCTTGTAAAAATAACACATTTTATTAATTACAAGTCCATATTTGATTACTGATACTTTAATGTAAATTACAATAAGATCACATACAAAATATTTAGGTAAATTAAGCACATTATTAATTTATTTTTGACAATGTCTTCACTTTTGTTTTTAACATTTAAGTCATTAAAAACATCTGCATTATCATTAATAGACTGAATCTACCAATGATCATCTTCAGTCATATGAGTAAGTTCTGTCGATTGAGATGCCAACATGTTGTCAGTTTGATTTTTTAATTAATTCATCCAATGCCAGTGAAAAAAATATTACGCTATTTCTTGAAGACAAGTTAGTCAAATAACTAACTTCCATTAAAAACCTTGTTCAAAATATTTAAAATCAAAAAATGTGTCCAAAATCTAACACTGATCTAACTGATTATAAAAAATGATATGTACTTCAAATTTCGCTTTCTTTACTTTCTTCTATTATTCGAAGTGTTTCTTTGTAAGTACCCACCCCACATCTTAAGCTCAAATAAAAAAATTAACATATATCAGCTCTTGGGCTATTTTTCTCATCTTTATAGCTCGCCCAGTCATTTCTGTATTCGTAAATATCCTATCCAAACTTAATAACTTTTTTGAATCTGGGTCTTCTTGTAATGCTTCATTTAATCGTAATACTTATTCGTGATAAGCAACCATTTTACTGTGATAATTATATTTCATAAAGAAGTTTATCAGACGAGGATTTCATTACCTATCAAGAACTTTTTTTGTTTTTTGCAAAACTTGAATGTCCTCATTTTTTGTAATTAAGATTTTAAAATAAATAAGAATAAAGGATTTTCATCAGCAAAAAAGTTTAATTCAGATATTTATATCTGTATAACCTTTCATTATTGATTTTTATTGATTAGAGAATAACTTATAAAACAAAGATGCACGCTTTATATAAATTTTTGCTTTTATTATTATTATTCAAGTTTTTTTATATATAATTAGATACTAATTTTATTTGGAGTTTTTTTTAACTTTAAAAGACCTTAGATATGTGAATTCAATGATAAACTTGATGTCCAACTTTATATTAAGTAAAAATTTAATTGGTTAATTCTAAGCTTCACAGGATTTGTGATCTTACAATATAACTGGACCAATGGTCTTTTAAACTAGATTAGACGTAATAATATATTATAAATGTAATTTCAAAGAATGAAATGCATAACTTATCTTACTGCAAAATGAAACTAAATGAAAATGTCTGTAAAATCTATACAAACTAAGTAAATGTTGGTATGTATCACTTATCTAGAAAATTAGTATTTTCATTATACTCGCTAAAATTTATAGCATATTAGAATTCAATTTTGAAGCTATCGTTAATAACGTATTTAATTTACCTCTTACAAACAACAAAATATTTACTCCAAATGGATAAGATTCAAAATAAATATATTTTAGAACTTATAAAATTAAAATGAAGCTATAAAGAAATAGATTAACAATATGAAACAGTCTAGAAAGCTTTGAAAAGTTTTACAATAAGTCAGCTTTTCATTATGGTTCATAATGTAGACATTCGTTTTGTTGTCTAATAGCTTTAGCCTGTAGAATCCTAACATGTAAATGTTGTATCATATTTTCAATTAGTATACTAGCTTTAGCTACATATATGAAAGACTTCAGCTCTATTATAGATACAATACATCATGTTTTATTAAGATTAAGTTTTTAGAAGTGAACTTTACAATTAAATTTTTCGACAAGGATGAAAAAAAGTCAGAAGAAATTAAAGATTTCTAGGAAAACATAAAATTAGATCAAAAACTTAATATATTAGATAAAAAATGAAAAATAATCAAGATAACACATAGTTAAACTTTCAGGATTATATATTTGAAGCAAATAATAAATTTTAATAAATCTTCAGATTAAAGGTATCGTGAATTTTTTGCAAATAAGAAACAAACACTTAAATGATACTTCAAAGATGATTCATAAGTCTTAGTTAAATTTTTTAAAAAGAAATAAAGCAAAAAATCCAGAATTGATAAACAAAAAGAAGTAGAGAATGCTAATAAGATAAAAAGGTCTCCTCTTTTAGAGATGTCTGCAAATAATATTCTGCTATCATGTAGTTCTGAGATACTAATTTATGATTTATTCATATATTATCTAGAATGAATCAATTATAAATAACAATCTATATAATTTAAGAGAAAAAGGAAATATTAATTACAACGAAGAATATTTTTCAATAAAGTAATATGAATACACTACACCTTTTCCAGGTAGTTCAACATTATATCCATTGTTAGATAACTTGTTTAGTGAGAAAGAGAGTGAAAACGAAGATGAGAATAAGGATGGTGTCATAATAATTAATGATGTTGATAAACTTTGCTTTAAGGATAGGGATCCAAAAAATGCTTTTAAGATAGAAGATACTAATATTTCTCAGTTATTTCAGAAATATCAAAATGAATCAGTAAAGATTGCAAAGACTACAGGTCTATTTTTTGAATCAAATATACATGAAATATTGTTACTGTCTTCGATTTTTCTGCTTATTTCAGGTTCTCATTCAAATACAATGATCAATATATTTAGTTTTCCTTTACTCAATGAAATTCACTAACAAATCGCTCTAGCATAACAATAGAACTAAATTCAGAGTGTGAGAAAAAATTTAGAAAAGTGATTAAGTAAGTAACTAAAAAGTCATGTCACAAAGCCATAAAATTGTTATTAACAGAACTTTTAAATGATGAAATTTTGAATGAAAATTTAGTTCTGTGATTTTGAAAAGCTTGAAAATATTGCTTAGTGATAAGCTTAAAAATGAATTTAGTGAGATCACATTTATCACAAATTATTTGGACTATATAATAAAAGATACATTTTATAATGCTGATAAATATATTATCTAATAGCCAAACACAGTTTTGAATGAAAGCAAGACAAGAAAGTTTAGGGGACAAACAAAGTAACCTGATTTATAGTTTCGATTATTCACCAATTTTAAACAGTCACCAATATTTTTATAGGAGAGGTTAATCCTCCATCACAAAAACTAATGTATATAAAAATGTTGTAATATAATCTGATTTAGTGTCTTTATAAAGATTGCATAAACTTCGTAATAGAGAAAAATGCTAATATTAATGTAATCAGCTTTCAATGTGTTGGTAAGCAAAATAATATAAAATGTTTTTCACATATAAAATTTTCTTTGATCCTTTTTGCTCTTCATTATAGATTATACAATCGATTTTTATATGATCGATCTTGTTAAAGGAATTTATGTCATGATCCACATTGGTCAAGTTTCAGTTTCAGCATCATTAAAAGAAATGCTATTCTTTATTGATCAAATTGAAATACTTTTGGACATACGAAAAATTTTTAAAAAATCCTTTAATATTTTATATGATAAGCTCTGCAATCCAACTTTACCATCAGTAAAAATAATGTTCAAACGTAATACCTTTAATACATTCTAATTTAATAATCTTGTGAATAAAACATGTAAATGTCACAAAATTTGCAAAAAAAAATCTTGTATTATTTAGTTTGTATAATCAAAATTTTATTAGTTTACTCACATAGTCTTATATATTTTGTATGCAAATGTGATAAATAATGAATCTCTGATAATAAAAATGTGATTATTAAATATGCATATACTTTATACCTTATAATATTAGTAAAGCGTAAGGTGTTTTTATATCAGATCGATAAAAAAAGCTATATTAATTGATTTTATCGCCTTGCTATTTTATTATATCATACAGCCCAATAAAAAATTTGATATAAAAATTCCATAAAAATATTAAGTTTTATAACGTATAAATTTTATGGAAAATCAGTATAATATATACGTTTTTTCCTTAGGTAAAAACCTTAAACTTAATATGAAAAAGTGGGAAAAAATGTATACAAAAAATAAGGAAAAAACGTATATTTTATAATGCTTTAACGGATGCAAAAATCACGGATTAAACGTATATT